CTACTGCTGCTGCTGTTGCTACTGCTGTTGCTGTTGCTGCTGTTGTTGCCGCTCCTTTTGTTGTTGCTGCAGTTGATTTTGCTGCTTTTGTTACTGTTGCTGCTGTTGCTGTTGCTGCTGTTGTTGTCATAGGTCCTTAGATGATCTCCTTATGTTTTGTGCTCTTGTTATTTTAGATTGACCCGTGCTACCCAAGTGTACAATTTCCCAATATCATTATCAGAAGAGCTAAGTCCTGCAGCTATCTTCTACGGCACATTTATACCCCTTACTGCATACTGGGTCGTCAAAATTCTCATTGTTAACCCATTCCTGAAACAAGAGAAGGAAAGGTAAGTGTCACAGTCAGTTATGTGTAAACGTGAGAGTGTGAGAATATTGGTCCCTCTGGAACCTTAATAGTATATAAAATGTAATGTATGCAAGAAAAGAATCTGTCTGTCATGCTCATGTGAGAGTTCGGCCTTGGATTTAGAATCAGTGAAAGTAAGTATTATTAATGATAAGGTAAAGCAAAGGGTGTGTTCTTCTTTATGGAGGTGGTACAGTAGATAGGGAACATAATGACAGTAGTGTGGTGGTTATGACCAATTCTGATATAGTGATCATGGAGCATTGTGGTCTAGCTTGGGTACAAAATGTATTTTGTTCATCATGATCGTCCTACATTATGTGATGATGTGTGTATTGAAATCATCCTGCAAATTAAAACACCTTGTTTTTCAAACCAAGAAAAAGCCCAAGGTAGTGGTGAAAGTGGTAGTACCTTGTGAGATGATAGTGGCAGTGGGGAGAGTGGGGGTTGTAATAGTGACGGCAGGCACAGTATTGGCAGGGGTGCTGGTGGCAGTGCTTGGAAAGTTGAAAGTAGTGACTACTGTAGCAGTAGTTAGTGGTGGTATTGCTGATGGTAACAAAAAATACATTTTTTGATTAACATTCTTTGTTATTGTAACAGAGAAAATGAGATAAATAAAGAAAAAATTGAAAGACAAATGGCAGAAAAACGAAGAGAAGCAGAAGCTAGTGTAAGTACATGTATAGTCAAAAAGACTTGTCAGTTTTAGTGGTCAGCAATAGACCTCTTCGGCTCTGACGTAAGGTTTTCCCATTTCAGACCACGTGTCATTCCCTAGAGTATCATTTCTTTGTTTAAGGTTTGCGCTCGGTTGCACATGAGAAGACACATGAATATGGATACAGCTCAAACAAAGAATCATATTCTCAAGAGAATGGCACGTGATCTGAAATGAGAAAACATTACCCAAAGCCAAAGAGGTCTATTGTTCCTGCCTCCGTTCATGGCTACCAAATACATCTTCAAATATCAATTTTAGTTTTCCCTCAGAAGAATGCGAATGGAAACAATCCAAATTAATCTTTAATTTGGACAGGAAACAGAATTTGAAAATAATACAATAGTTGCTTATATGGGATTGTAGAGTGATGATACAATCATATAATATATTGGATCACATTGAATCAAACTAATTCTTTTTTCCATGTATGAATTACAGATTGATTTGATGAAAGAGACATATGAGAGGACGGTAGAGTATGAGCGATCCAGACATGGTATGTTTTGTCATTAATAAAGTCTATAGTATTAAGCCTGTAACAACTTTGTTTATTCCTTGCTTTTACAGTGTTCTTACCAGGCCGCGCCATTGCGGGATTCGCGCATAAAAATCAGAAATGGCACACAAATGTCAACTCTACGCGCCCCCAAGGGCGCATRAATTATCCAAAGAATACTTCCTGATAGTTTTAAAAGATTTATAGTACTTTTGAAATAATAAAAGTCGCATTATATTGTCGATAAACAAGGTGAAAGTCCACATGAAAGTCCACTGTCTTACATTGTTGTTGATCTGCAACAGAGTTACTGGCAAAAAACATTGTTATTCTTTGTTTTAAGATTTTGGAAATGGCCCATCCAGTTATCTAAATGGCCCCTAAATTTCGGATTGGTGGGTCCTTTGGCCCCCTGAAAGAAATTCCTGGTAAGAACACTGTTTTAGGAATAGCCCTGTTGTCTTTAAAGGGTTGTCTCCCTTTTCAAACTACTTTCAATTTGACTCCAAGAATTCACGCCCCTTCCGCGCTCAACCCCACTCTTAAAAAGGCACTGGAAAGCCCTCAGGACCCTAACAATAACACGCAGGCATGCCCATTTTACAAGTCTAATACTGTGCTGTGCACAGGCATACCCATTAAATGAACTCGTTTCATCTGCTTTGAAATGTGTTACACAACCGACGACCGAAAGCTTGGGTGTATTAACAACAACAACAAATAGTTTATCGCATATGAAACAAGTTTCTTGCTTTTTTTATTTACAAGGGTAGTCTATTGAAAATTTTGCTAAAACATTTTGTATTTTCCTGTTTGCTAAGATTGATTATTTTCAAATTATCTTTGCCAAAGTTTGCTTTGATGTGAAATATATGCCGTCAAATGTGTTTGTTCTATTTGCAAGGGTTGATAATTATCTCGGCATTGTATGGCAACCTTGTTTCCATGGATAACACAGACCATTATTCTCATGGAAGAAGTAAGCCATGTGTCATAGATGTAACCATCCCAGTCCAGTGTCAAGTCAAAGACTCTAGGCTGTTTCTTACTGATGTAAATAAGGTGAGGGTCAAGTTTTGTTGTCTTGAAGCATTACATCTTGACTTTCCTTCCTTTTTTTCCCCTCTCCCTCTTCCCCCTCTTTTTGCTTCCTTTCTTACTTTCTTGCTTAATCCTTGCCATTTTCCTTGCCTCCTTGCTTGCTTGCTT